GTACACAATCATTAAAAGGTACCATTGTGGTACACAATCATTTAAAGGTACCATTGTGGTACACAATCATTTAAAGGTACCATTGTGGTACACAATCATTTAAAGGTACCATTGTGGTACACAATCATTTAAGGTACCATTGTGGTACACAATCATTTAAAGGTACCATTCTGGTACAGGTCTATATTTTCCTTGTTCCTTTAACAAACTAAAGAAATACTATTTATCTTTCTTGTACACACCACAGCGAATCATGTTTCTCTCTACAGAGTTACACAACTACAATTCTCATCCACATTCTGAATCACAAAAACATTCTGCAACATACATACACTCTGCCTCCATCAGTGTTGGGCACATTATTCAATTATTTGACAAAATAATTAATACATTAATCAATTACTAAAATAATCATTAGCTGCAGGCCTAATTTCAAGTGCTGTCATCCTTTAATCTCTTTATTTGGGTTYGAATAAACAAAGTTGAAATCCGATTAATGGGCATCAAACTTATGGTAATATTAGTAATAATTCACCCATATTTATAGGATTATGCCGGTTGGTACCTACAACTAAAATGGAGACAGTTGACCTCTGAACTGGTATTTGAATGATTAATCTAACATTTTTTTCCTGTTTCTGTAGATTTTTCAGAACTAGCAGAGTAGTTCTTGTGATGAACATGCAACAAAGAGCACTTCTTACCATCTTTGTGGAGGCACTGTACTCATTCTGTTCGTTGAGGTGACACTGTCCATCGTGGGGCTGAACAAGACCTCCCAGCCGGCCGTCCAGAGCCAGGTGTGGCACATCGTCTGTAGCAAACACCAGCAGGTGATAGGCCCCTTTTCTCCAGCCGATCTTCTCCTGTTAACAGAACAGTAGAGTCAGATGATTGACTATTTGACTTAAGGACTGACCAATCACACAATAGTTGATGAATAACCATAAGAGAAAAAGTTCTGCTTAGACCTTATGCACGGAAGGAGCTCATGCTCTAATTCACTTGTCAGATTCAAGACTTGGTGCCTCTCATCTGGCCTGCCAAGGGGGCGCCCCCTACAATTTTTTTGTATGTTTTCACCTCCGCCAAGCGGGTGAGGTAATGTTTTCGGTCGCGTATGTCAGTCGTTCTGTCTGTGGACAAAATTACTCAAAAACTTATGGACGGATTTTCATGAAATTTTCACAAGTGGGAAGTGGCCCAAGGAACACACCATTAAATTTTGGTGACGATCCGGATGATGATCCGGACCCAGAAACAGCCAATCAGCTTCAAGGAAGCTGACTGTAGACGTCCAATCACATCGGATTATCRTAGACGTGTCAACCCCGACTGTATACATCCAATGGTATTGCCTGAAGCGGTGTAGAATACCAATCACGAAGGCACATGGAAATAAAACTTTAGACCGAATTGTTTTTAAATCGAAAAACTTACTGTTTGAAGTTACTTTAACGTAACAATAAATCATTTTCATAATTTTCATTCATGTCCTAACAATTTTGTATTTTGTGTGTAAGTTTTTGGAGTTTTCCCCCACCTGTAACGGAAGGGTAAGCTAGATAACCCCCACCCCCCATTCAGGTCTGTTATCCAATAGATAACGCTACGGTTTTCTTAAACAATTAGGTTTATTCTGTTTTTTTATGGCTAAAGGTTTTCTTTTTTTCTGATGCTGTTCCACTCCTGTT